GTGATGCGTTTCTGGTCTCAAATTGTAGCTTTTTACTTCTTACAGTTTATAAATGTGTGAATTTCTGTCATGATGGTTCTTTTCCATAACACTGAATGTAGTAACAAAAGTAATAAAGAGTTGGTTATTATTATTAAGTCTCTTTCCGGCTCAGACTGCATAGGTTATGCTGCGTTCACGCCATATCGTAATTTTGAGATTACAACATGTGACATTCTACTCTGAGCTGTTCTCTGACTTGGAATTATGCTTTTCTATGGCAACACTGTCAACGCCTAAACAGAGCCTGCGATGGTCAGGTGGTACACCGGTCAGAGCTTATGGGTCTGTCACGTGATGAACGAACAACTCGAAAAACCCAAAGACTCGAAAGATGAACTAATCAATTCTCTTTCCGGCTCAGACTGCATTGGTTAAGCTTATGGGGCTGTCACGTGATGAACGAACGACTCGAAAAACCCGAAGACTCGAAACAGGTGAACTACTTGACTAATTCCAGTACAGAACCTATAGGATGTTGCGCATGCGCGACTGAACAAATCACTCCCCGAGACGACTCGTTCTTCCTGAGTCACATTAAAGATTAGTTCAAATGAACGAATCGTTCAAGAACGACCCATCACTACTGTGGACACAAATAGGCACAAACCTATAAAGAAACAGAATGTATAAGAAATACACAAAATGTAAAAAATAAATTATGGGGGAAAAAAAATTCTTAAATTTTGCAAATTGTTTCAGTTATCTGAGCACAGAGAGATGAGGAGTGCCCATGCGCTAGAGTCACTGTGTCATCACCCCTTCTATGAGGATGCCCTGCAGATGGCTGAGGAAGGAAAGATCTCCTGCCGAGTGCTAAGGTGAGTCGAGTATGTCAGGTATTGGGGACCACAGAATACCTGATTGGCCAATCAGAATCAAGTGCTCCATATAGTTGTGTAATTAATAATGTATTAATGCAAATCACAGTAGTCAGTTGTTCAATTCATATAGTTCATCAGACTATAATACTGTTGACTAGATGCTTTAACAAAGTTTAATCATGTTCATAGGTATGTGTATATTGGATATTTGAATGTGGCTCATCCAAACTGATTTGAGAGTATAAACAGATCTGTTTTATAGATCTGGGTTTGTTTGCACATATTTCTGAAAATACTGCACAGAGCCGAGTTCTATTTTAAGTTGATATGTTTTATGTAGACTGTGTTGTTCACTGGTCTTTTTTTTTTTTAACAGAACTGAAATGCTTGAATGTCTTGGAGACACTGACTTCCTGGCAAAGCTGCACTGTATACGGCAGGCGTGTCAGGTAAAGGATTTCTTTCTTATGTCCTGGTTGAGGGGTTGTATTGCATTTGTTTAATTCATCATGTTAAATTGACAGCCTGTGTTAATGGTGTTGCATTGAACAGATTAAGTTGCTGTTGTTAAACTGTTGTCTGTAGTCCCGTTCCAAATGGCACCATAAGCCCTCACAGTCCTCCTCAGGGTTGCAAGGTCTGCATAACAAAACCAGTCCAATTGGTACTCAAAAACCTACTTCAAGGGGGTTCCACCTCGGTCAAAATCGCATTCCGAGGGGGCGGGGGGGTTCGCTTCAATCCGCAGATTAAAAAAACAACCCGCGGCAACAGTATAAAAGTAGCCCAATTCCACAGGAAAACCGCAGACTTGGTGACACTGGTCTTCCTCCAAGTCCACACTTTTGTGACGTAATGACGCTTTAACTGTCAGGTTGAAGTCTGCTGTGCATTTAAGCGTTTAGCAGATGCTTTTATTCAAAGCAACTTACAAACTAGGACAATAGAAGCAATCAAATCAACAAAAGAGCAACATTATGTAAGTGCTAAAAAGTAGTAGACAGAATAGAGAGAGCTGGTATTAGAGGGTCAAGTTATTATTATTTTTTTATAATAAATAAAAAGAAAACAAGTAGATTAAGAAATAGACAGAGTGCAGGTGTAGATGGAAGAGATGTGTCTTTAGCCATTTCTTAAAGCTCAGATCGAGTTGTGCAGGTCATTCCAACAGCAGGGAACAGTGAATGTAAAAGTCTGTAAAAGTGATTTTGTGCCTCTTTGGGATGGCACTATAATGCACTGTTCACTTGCAGAACGCAAGATTCTGGAGGGCATACAAGTCAGAAGTAGTGAATTTTGGTAAAGTGGTGCAGAGCCAATGGTTGTTTTGTAGGCAAACATCAATGCCTTGAATTTTATGCGAGCGGCTGGCTATTGGTATCCAGTGCAAACTGATGAACAGAGGTGCTAAAGACTAATTTTGCAGCCGCATACTGGATTAGTTGTAGAGGTTTGATAGAACTGGCTGGAAGACCTGCCAAGAGAGTGTTGCAATAGTCCAGCCTGTACAGAACGAGAGCTTGAACTAGGAGTTGTGTAGCATGTTCCGAAAGAAAGGGCCTGATCTTATAATGTTGGACATGCGCATGTGGTGTCCATTGTTAAGTCTGCAAGACCGCAAATTTACATGAAGTGTGTCATTTGGAATGGGGCCTGTTTGGGAAAACTTTTAACTCTACATTGTATTTTAATTCAGGTCATCTTATGTGAAAGAGCCACTAGAGCATTTCTGGCTGACACAGGAAAGAAGATATTGTCTTCAATTATTGTCAAAGCAAGGAAGGTGAGTGTTCTTTCTCTCCTCCATGTGGTCTTACATAAAGTGTCCCCAACCCAACTGACCTATTGTGTGGTTTTCAGAGCCCAAAGAGATTTGAGGAGGTGTTTGAAGAAATGATCTGTTTTCTGGAGCAAACGGACCATTGGGAGAACACTGAAATTGAGCTTTCTGCAAGAGGGGTGAGACATCTCTTGTTATACAGATACAAGACTTGTCCTGGATATTAAACCATCTTCAAGTTTTCAACACAGCTAATCTTGTTGTTTAAAGTTTGTGCCTTTTCTTTTCAGGTTAAACATCTGAACTTCTATGACATTGTTCTCGACTTCATCCTTATAGACTCATTTGAGGATCTTGAGAATCCACCTATCTCTATTCAAAATGTGGTCAACAATCGTTGGCTCAACAACTCTTTCAAAGAGACGGTGCGTACAGAATCTCTTGCATTTGATCTGACCTCAACAAAATTGCATTCCGGTTACACACTGATATTTAATAAAGCTGTATTTTCCCATCATAGGCTGTTGCATCAAGTTGTTGGGCTGTTCTGAAACAGAAGAGGCAACATATGAAGGTATTGTTGGAAATGTAAACGTTTTGATTGTTGTACAGAGTAGAGTAGTTTAATCTCTCCAGACAGCCAGACTTGAAAGATATAAATATTTTTTTATATTTCATTTTGTGTGTGCAGGTTCAAGATGGCTTCATTGCGCATTTCTATGCAGTGTGTGAACACATAAGTCCTGTCTTGGCCTGGGGGTTTCTAGGCCCTAAAAGTTCCCTGCATGATTTCTGCTGCTTCTTCAAGGTAAGCTGTAATTTGATGATCTCTGTATCTTCATGTCAGCCTCAGATGGCATGCCTACATACACTGACTATCACATGCAAATGTGCTATGACTACTGAAGAGGAAGAAATGTGTTAATGTGTGCCAAAGTGTTGCATGGATTTGCCAAGTGTACTGGCATTAAATCTTTGAACTATCCAAGCGTTTGTTGGAAGAAAAACATGCAATTATGAAAATTTTGTGAGTTTAATACTGGATAATGGATGATCAGGCAAATAATGGAAAAAGGTCCTCATAGGTTTGATCGAGTGACCTATTGTTGCTCACCAGCCTTATCGTAGTAACATCATTTTCAGATTTAGTTTCTCTTAAATGACAAAATTAAATGTGGTTGGTGTTGGGCTAAAGATCCCACAAGGGCTAGTGCTTGTCCATTAACTTTTGTGCAACTGAACAAGACCATGGTTTGTCCAGGGAGTCCAATCCTGATTCTGGATGGCCACTTTCCTGTAGAGTTTCCTCCAAGCCAATCCAACACACCTGCCAGGAAGTTTCCGGTAATCCTGAAAACCCTGAGTAGCTGCTTCTGTCGTGTCAAATTAGGGTTAAAGCTAAACTCTATAGGATTGGATACCCTTGGTCCAGAGCAGGGGTATCCAAACCTGTGGAGTGCCACTGTCCTGAAGAGGTTAGCTCCAACCCTAATTAACCACCCCTGAACCAACTAATCAAGATCTTCAGACTCAATAGACACTTCCAGGCAAGTGTGTTGGAGCTGGCTGATGCTAAACTCTGTAGGATGTTAGCCCTCCAGACAAATGTTTGGGCACCCCTGGTCGGGAGGGAGTGTCCTGTGAGTCTCTTTAGATAAAAGTAGGGTGTCCACTCTAGCTCTAGGAGGGCCACCTTCCTGCTCCAACCTACCTGACTAGAAGTTGCTAGTAACCCTGAAAAGCTTCATTCTGCTGCATTCCATTTTGAAGGGCTCGTCCCTATGCCCTATTCCCTTTGAAGGGTTTACCCTGGAGTTCCACTGTCTTGCAGAGTATACCCCAAACCCTGATTAAACTTGCCTACCTATAATTTTCTAGTAACTCTGAAGACCTTGATTAGCTAGCTCAGGTGTCTGAGAGTAGAGATTAAATTCTGCAGGGCCCTCCATGGCTGGATTTGAGGAACCCTGAGTAGGCCAGAATAAGATACGGTGTTCTCCAGACTTAATACTGATGATCAGGGGTCTGTTGGGTATGTTAGACTCCCAAGGTATAATCTTCACCAAATGCCTTCAATGTCAGATTTGTTGAATGTCATTCAGGAATAAAATTGTCTTTTGTCCACAGGAACAGGTGCTGTTCTTCATGAAGGACATTTTCGATCTGGATAAAGTACGTTACTGTAACTCTGGACACTCTGGCTGAGGACATCCTGCACTTGCTTCACCGACGCTCTGAACTGCTTCTTGCCTATCTGGGCACTGACATGATCCGTCACCTAAACGGCTGTAGTGGCACACCTTTGCACCTGGTAGCCAGTGCTTTGCTGGAAGCACAGGTTCAGTGAGCTACATCCGTCTGTCACACCCTCCACATTTTCATGGATGTTACCTACAGCTGCTGAGTCCACTGTGCATCATGACTCTTGTCTTTTAAGTCATTATTAGTGTCATGTCAATGCATTGTAAAGTTTGTCTAGCATTTAAAATGAAGTGGATAAGAATGGACAGAGATGTTTATTTTATATGCCTTCCATGTGGTATTAAAGTAGCTTTAATTTTATACTTTTGAGGGATTTGCACAATGAATGATCAGAATTTTTGGGTCCTTGATGTTTTGAGACTTGAAAGCTTTAACTCAGTTTTAAGTATGAGTATTTTAATAGTTCTAAAAAAAAAAAAGATGTTATTCTAAAGAGATTTTTAAACCGAATGTCTTTATGTAGGTCACTTAAGAGTCTCTGAACATTTATGGCAATTAATGTTCAACACTAGCCATGAATTCAGTTTAGACTTCCCTACCATAAGAATACATGAAACAGCTGGCTGTTGTGAATTTAAGTCATTACATGGTCTCTTACAAATAGTATATGTATAACAACTCAAAGCTCAAACAATTGATGTATTCTGTAATCAGGGCCGTCCTTGGGGGGTGCAACTGGTGGCGAACGGACCGAGGGGAAGAGGTCTGCGCGGGACTGTTTTTTTTAGTCCCGCTCCCGCAAGGTTCTATTCCGCACCCGCTATATATTCACTCAAATTGTATTTCTTATTTTTATTCGTCTTGTCAGGATACAATGTTTAATTAACTGACAACAATAGGGAAAAAGTCTCGCAGAGAGAAAAAAAAAAAATACAAATGTAGGTTGTACTAAAAATAGCTATTTTTATTCGTCTTGTCAAAAATTTGTTTGACATTTTTCTGTTAACACCGTAGGAAAAGTGTTGCAGAGAAAAATAAATAAACACGACATCTTTCATTTAAAATTATAGGCTAAGCAAAATATAAACAAAACAGAGTTGAACGTCCTTCAAGGACAGCGCATCCACACTTTGCTCCATCCTTATTCTGCTCCGTCACTCATCGACAACCTGCCTGTTCTGTCTGAGGGCCGTATATTTACCACAGGTAGAGCCTGCTCCGAGCATCGTTATGCACATGCTGCACACAGACCACGCAAATAAAACGCGTGACGTTTAAAGCATGCGTGCAGCGCGTGCATAAGTCCTGAGCGCAAGCTGTACCGGTGGTCAAAGAAGAATAAAGCGCAGATATGCTGTTCTAAATGGACGTCGGGAACGGGATATTGTTAGACCGCCCGCTCCCGTTCAAATTACACCAGTTACCGACCGCTACCGCGTTTTTTTCCGGGAATTTAGTGTTATCCCCCTTCTACCGAGGGGATAACACTGAAATAACTGAATAAAAACCTCAAAACCAATTTTAATGATTACAATTTTATTGATGATAATGGCAACAATCTTCAACATTTCAGACCAACAATTCTCAGCAAAAATCAAAAGTAAATTCAACAACTTTAACAGTCCATGATAGTTTTACCTCAAAGGCATGCTCCAAATTTCTCAGATAGCCTCCGTTTTTCTCTTCGTATTTAGACCCCCCACGAATTCTGTTGTGAACAATTTGCTCAAAGGGAAACATCTTGCATGCATACAAAAAGATATGCAGCAATGGATAAAGACTAGGTTTAAAGAAACTCGTTTAACTGACAAACAAAAACCAGTCTGGCAAATGTATACTAGAAAGAAAAGAAAAGTTCCTGGTCATGGTCCACCTGTACAGCACTGTTGCACATAAAATCCCTACACTTATCAACAAAAGGCAAAGCATGTACTCAAAAACATTTCATAGAACCATTAGACAACCAATAATACAGAGACATATCAAAACTAACTGGCATCACCCTAAACTAACAGTAACATTGACTTTGCAATGACAGAACTTTGCAATGACAGATTCCTTATGATATTTTTACCTTATAATTGGAGCCCTTGAACAGTCTACGTTCAGTGGAGGGACAGACTCAAAGGATTCCTCCTTACGGACAAACTAGCTCAGGACCTGATTCTACGAACTACGCCTGCAGCATCTTCAACACTGTGAGTGAGAATGAAGGCAGCAATGTGGGACAAACATTAGCACTACAAAGGGGCAACAAGAAAGCTTGCAAACCAATGAAACATGAGCATACATACAGTATACATCAGTTATCAGTGAGTGCATTCATAGGGCTAACTCTGGATCATTTTGCATCTGCATGCATTGTGTAACAGTAGAAGAGGACCACACTTAACAGACTTACCAGGAAGCTAACAAATGAGATCAAAATTACATTGGTTTCAATTAGTAAAATAAAATAAACCGCATAATCCTAGTTAGATGTCAACAGATGAAAAACATTTGTGAACTACAGGTCAATGCCATGCAATTTATATGGACAAAAAAAAAAAACATACTTCCAACATGTCTAAATTCTGACATTTGTGGCGTACGTTAGTCTATCTACTACGAGAGACATCCTTCATTAAAACAGCGACACATATTGACCTCGGTTTCAAAGGTGAAAAGCATTACACTAGATCACAGGCTCAGTCGTTTTGATTTCTTAGGATACGCTTACCTGTGTTATTGCTGCAGAACCTAAGGTGCAAGGTCAGGGATGGCACTGCAAGATTAGACAATGCACTGCTCACTAATGAACAGTCAAAAATAACTTGCATCAAATTGACAGCCTCAATGACCTTATTACAAACAGGTCAGGCACAGATTTAGAAATGGGACATTAAAACTAATTAGCATTTGAAAGAGGCCATTTGCTGATGGTCTTTATGGGCTATGCAGTATAAACTTGGCAAATCACAAAATTGACAATTTACAGGTCTATTTAATGTTAAACCACACATTTGCAGATGGAAAAAGATGCTGTTTCTACAGACGGACTGACTTAAAACAGTGGTACAGTTCACAGTTTCATATAATAAGTCTGAGATACTTAAATGACTAAAGCAGTGTCAATATGGCAATGACTCAATTTGTAAATCACACAATGCTGTTATAGCAAAAAAATAAAAGTTCATTGTGAAAAAGGGTCAGGTCATTATCTTGAACATGTCAAAACAAAATTACAGCCCTGACATACTTACCCAAAAAAGGGCAACATTTAGAGATTTAAATGCATTGCGTTTCATTCAGTCAAAGACAATGCATTGACAGCAGAAAAAAAACGAATTGGCCCGCAAAGTCATGTACATTTTGTACTTACAGTGGAGAGCTCATTTCACTGGTGTTGGAGGCCAGAGTCTCCAAACACCTATAGGCCTATATTGGAGGAATGCTAACAGACAATGGGCAGACAAAAAAGTAGTCCATGTTTGCATTCGAGCTTTTTTTAATCTTATCAAAATGTTTTTAAAATGCCAGCAATATTGATATAAATATATACACAATTTATGGATTTTAGACATGTAAAATATAGGATGGGGACAAATAATTTCGCAAGACATAACGGTTGGTCAGAACACTTGACCTGCCCTGTAAAAAAGCAACAAACTTGGAGAACAAACTAAAATACTTGCAACATGATTGCAGTCACAATATAAAAAGGAACAGTTTATGTAAAGACGCATACTTGCTTACCGCCTTCCTAATCTCGCCTGTGAGGGAGGAAATGTCTCTCATTAACAGTGCACACTACCTCAACAAACCAGGTAAAATGCAGTGCAAGAATGAGCAACACTACAGCACTGAAGAGTTATTGCATGAGTCACATACCTTGCCAACACCAAGCCACCTTGCCTTAGATAACCTGCCTACACCTACATCCACAGCAATGACCAGTAAAAAGCAGCATAAAAACAGAGCTGTCCATTTGTCAAACAAGCAATGTCAAATGATCAATGATCTCTTACTTGACTTTTAAAAAGACCAGGAATCAAATAAAAAAATTAAGGGTAATATAGACAGTTGAAAGAAAAAAAAAAGAAAAAGAGCAAAATTTTTTGTTCTTGTAAATGTGTATACCACTCCCCCCACCCTTTCCCGAAACAGGAAATGAAATTTTCACAAAACATTCTCCACATTTGCACCCCACTTACCAACACAGGAGGTTTCATTGTTTTATTGCAAAACACAACAGGCATATCATTTTAGAACTGAGATGATTTACATGGAAATGACTATAATTTTGTCTCAAAACTACATGAGATACAGGAGATACAGGAGCTGGAATGACCAATATTACCCAACTAAAAACAAAACGTTCATTTACAAGAGTGGCAAAACAAAAAGGAAAAAAAAATATATATATATATATTTGACTTTGGAGCTGGTCTGCGATCTAGCTTAAACACTCAAACCAATGAAATTAAGATCTTCATCATGGCGTCTGCATCCAAACATTTAACAAAGGTTTTTTCTGACAATAAAAAAAGATAAAAGCCTGTTTGAGGAGGAAAGAGTTTGGTTATGTGTTGTATCGATGACTCATCTGGAAACCTTCGCTGAACCTGTGGAAGTAAATGTTAGGGGGGAAAAAAAAGTGGGGGTGGGGGACAAAAACTGTATACATGGGGACAAAAACTGTATACATGCACATCTACTAGGTGAAAAGTGCAAAAGGCAAAGAGCAGAGTGTTTTAGCGGGAGTGTACCTGCTGAGCCTGGGGTGCAGCTCCCATTGCCTGAGGGGCGCCTTGACCATAGTATGCTGCCTGTTGGCGGTAGTATTCTGCCCACGCTGCACTGTAATCTGGCTGACCTCCTGGCTGAGATGCCGTTGCTGCAGCCGCCTGAGGCGCAGCTTGACCTGAGATCAAATAAAACCCAAAGCATTACAGATGGAAGGTCAAGCAGAAACATAATCTGGCAGTGTTGTTAAAGGGGTCACATGATGCAAGTTTTCCTTTCTCTTTGGAGTGTCACAAGCTGTTTGTGCATCGATAAGATCCCTAAAGTTGCAAAGACTAAAGTCTCAAACCCAAAGAGATACTTTATAAAAGTTAAGACCATGCCCTCCTAACTAGAGCCCGACCGATATATCGTTTTGCCGATATTATCGGCCGATATGAGCCTGTCGCCGATATATCGGTATCGGCGAATATGCCGCCGATATTAATTTTTTTTTTACAGTACATATAACACAGATAAAATGCTTGAAATTGTGTAGTTACTTAGTTTGTCCAGCAGAGTGCGCTCTATTGTTTGCTACTGGCGACCTGGATGAAACGCTTTAAAGCTTAAGTCTATGGAAAACCATTGAAACTTTGAACGGCCATATCTCCGTAATGGCGTGGTGAATCCGCACCAAATTCGGGGGATCCCTTCAGCTCGAGGAACCCTCTCGAACGAGAATAGAGTATACGTCTAGAGGCCCGCTTTCGAATGAGACCACCCCCACGTCGATAGCCCCCGGGGTTCGGGAGTTACGGGTGGTTAAATTCGCGGTCCGGTGCCGACCGATCAAGTGATCCCGGGGGGCTACCGACGCACGGAGGGTGGTGTTCGAGAGGGCTCCTCGAGCTGAAGGGATCCCCCGAACTTAGTGGAGATCCGCCGGCGTGTTCGCGAGATAGTGACACCAGTCAACACTTTCACTTCAGTAAGGAGGTCTCTTGTTCTTTGTTCTTTTTTTACTCCCTAATATCAGTATCGGTCCCAAAAAACCCATTTCGGTCGGGCTCTACTCCTAACGCCCAAATGTTCACGCAAAGAAAGGCGGCATAACTTTGATTCTCACTGTAGTATTGTTGCCGCCGCCATATAGACACTGTGTGTTTCATTGTGAAAGCGAAACTACTTTCTTTGGCCTTCCAAAAGAGGACACAACTAGAAATCAGTGGTTAAGTTGTATTTACAACACTGTTCCAGAACAGTTCAACCCAAATATTCAGATGTGTGCAGCGCATTTTATGAAGGACTGTTTCCTGAACCTGGGAGAGTAGACTACAATGCCGTCTGTGCACAAAGGCTGTTTCTATAAAGTAAGTACGTTTACATGTACGTTAATATGTAAACGTAAGTACGTTTACATATTTAAAGGATTTGCCACTGATGATACCAAACGCGAGTTTTGAGCAGTGTAGAGTAGCGCTTGTTGTTTGTCATTTCTCCGATCACAAATGCAGACATGGTTTTATGTTTATGTGGCGAGATACGCAACGCAACGCGTAAAAAGACAGTATAAGTCATTAAAATCAGTAATTATGTCCCCACTGGATGCAACAAATGCCTCGTTTGTAATGGGTTTTAATGTTTTTGTGAGTTGTGTTTTAATGGTGAGGGGTGTAACATTTCCATCACATGGTTGAGGTATTCGGCCAATCACAACGCACTGGATAGCTGGCCAGTCAGAGCACACCTCGCTTCTCAGAACGATGAGCTTTGTAAAAATTGACACGTTTCAGAAAGGCGGGGCATAGAGGAGCAACAATAATGTACAGTATGTGGAAAATAATGTGTTTTTTTTTACCTTAAACTGCATAAACACATTGCATTACACCAAATACACCAAATATGATCATATAATCACTGCCTAGTACAAGATTGATTTAAGGATAAATAACTCCATGACAATGTTTGTAAGAGGGGGAACGACCCCGGCCACACTACCTCCGAGTGGCGGGACAGAAACCCGCTACTTTACTCTAGGGCAGCCCGAGACCACAGCAGCTCTACTGCAGAGGACTGTGAAAGAGCTGCAGCTGCCCAAAACTATTAGAAATCAAAGCATCTACATCTACCATATCTTACCTTGTTTCTTATAGTATTCTTCCCACGCCTTTGTGTAATCCTGCTGAGGCTGTCCTTGACCTGAAGAGACGAGATTAAACAGACATTAATCAAGAGATTAAACATTATATCAATTACATTGAAAATAACATGACTGAATTACTTAGACAATTCTGGTAAAAACATGCAAATATACTAAAAGTCTACCACCAAATTTGTTTTAAAAAAAATATTAACATTACAGTAAGGATTCAATTAAAACATTTACTGAAGATTTAGTTAGCATTAAAATGTTCAAGTTTCAGTAATCTTAAACTTCATATTTACAAGTACAACTGGCATTGAAACAGTAATATCAGGTACAAATTTGAAAAGGTGTACATATTTATCCATTACATACAGGTAGTGTTGTTTTTGGAGGCCTGTTTTAATTTTAGTTTTAGTCTAGTCTTTGTGTGAAACTCTCATTTTAGTTTTAGTCACGTTCATACTCTTTTTAGTCTAGTCAAGGGCTATTGCAGACAGAAACAATACTGTACTACATAGATGTTTCCTGTCAGCTTGATTTCTGAGTGGACTTTGCTGTTCCGATGAGCATGAACGGTATACGAGTGGATCACTCACATCGGCCGTGAGCGACTGAGCGGAGCGCACACACAGAGCGGGATGATACACACACACATAGAGCGGGATTAACACGCAGAGCGTCACACCACGTGAAAGTGAATCCTGAGCGGTGAACTCATTTTCGGCAGCCGGAATTTCAGTGCATCTCTAATTATTGGCGATATTAGAAATGGATATTATATAATAGCTGCTCTCGACAGGCGTGGC